CTATTCAAAAAGATTTGGAAGCAGGGACAAGTGCCGATGGACTGGTAAGAAGGACACCTTATCAAGATTCCAAAGAAAGGAGATCTGAGCAAATGTGAAAACTACAGAGGCATTACACTACTGTCAGTACCAGGGAAAGTCTTTAACAGAGTGTTGCTAAACCGGATGAAAGACGCAGTAGACGCTCCACTTCGAGGTCAACAAGCTGGATTCCGTAAGGATCAGTCGTGCACAGACCAAATTGCGACACTACGGATCATCGTCGAACAATCAATTGAGTGGAACTCAACACTTTACATCAACTTCATTGATTATGAAAAGGCATTTGACAGTGTGGATAGGAGAACGTTATGTAGACTTCTTCGACATTACAGAGTTCCTGAGAAGAGTGTCAACGTTATCCGGAACTCATACGACGGACTACATTGCAAAGTAGTGCATGGAGGACAGCAGACAGACGCATTCCAAGTAAGGATCGGAGTCAGACAGGGCTGTCTACTCTCCTCCTTCCTCTTTCTTCTCGTGGTCCACTGCATTATGAAGACCTCGACATCTGAGGAAAAACACGAAATACAATGGACGGCTCAAAATCAATTAGACGATTTCGACTCCACAGATAACCTAACCTTCCTATCCCACACACACGAACAAATACGGATGAAGACAACTAACGTAGCAGCAGTCTCTGCGTCAGTAGGCCTCAACATACACAAAGGGAATACCAAGATTCTCAAATACAACACGGAGAACACCAACCCAATCACTCTTAAGGGCGAAACTCTGGGAGATGTGGAATCCTTCACATACCTAGGAAGCATCATCGATGAACAAGGAGGATCAGATGCAGATGTAAAGGCGAGGATCGGCAAAGCAAAGGTCGCATTCCTACAATTGAAAAACATATGGAACTGAAAACAACTCTCAACCAATATCAAAGTGAGAATCTTCAATACGAACGTCAAGAAAGTCAGTTCTACTGTATGGAGCTGAAACTTGGAGAACCACAACAACCACAATCAAGAAAGTACAAGTATTTATAAATGGTTGTCTACGCAAGATACTCAACATCCATTGGCCGGATACCATCAGCAACAATCTACTGTGGAAGAGAACAAACCAGCTTCCAGCTGAAGAAGAAATTAGGAAAAGACGATGTAAATGGATAGGACACACATTGTGGAAATCATCAAACTGCATCACGAGGCAAGTACTGACTTGGAATCCTGAAGGGTAACGGAAAAGAGGAAGGCCAAAGAACACATTACGTCGGGAAATAGAAGCAGATATGAAAAGGATAAATAGGAGCTGGAAAGGATTGCCCAGGACAGGGTTGGATGGAGAATGCTGGTGAGCGGCCTATACTCCTTCACGAGGAGTAACAGGCATAAGTAAGTAAGTAAGTAAAATCCGATATTGTGATTCACACAAAAACAAGAAAGTCGACTAAATATGATTTGAGAACCTTCAAAGCATAGAAGTTATAACATACGAATGAGTATATAGTTTAGAATTTTGATTCCTTTGGTCAACACCTCTTTAACTATCGTTTATTCATTTTGCTGTAATTACTTAAAATAAATCACTATCGAAGTTTCTTTAAACTATAAATAACAAGTTTGACTATTGACTCTTTACTGATAGGGTTCTCATTCTTTTGTATTTTTATTATTGATGTAGTTAAATCTAGAAATATCACATGAACTATAAATGTTTTCAGTTGATTGTCATTTAGAATTGACCTATAAAAATCATTAAGACCAAATAAAAATTGATGAGGAAAAAGAGGATGGTTATCTAGAGCATGAGGTTAAATAATTTGAATGACGCGATAAGATGAATCTCGTTACTTGGAACCCATATGGATCTACACTTTAAAATTGAATAGCATCAATCCATTAAGCAGTCGTCAATGCATGTGCATTAGTTCCAGTTACCACAATTCAGATCAGATAAACACGAATTTAATAAGATGAAAAGCATAGGATGGAAAATATTGAAAACAACGAGAATTCGGACATGAAGAATACAGTCGTAAAGAAAGAACGAAAAAGCAGTTATGACACTCGATTCCAGGCTAGAATGTTTGACATTTCCGTTCTTGTGATCAACAACGTACCAGGTCACTTGATATTTTAAGCCTATGATTGAGTATTACATAGATCTCACTCAATAAATTTGCACATATCGATATGGCTAAAAGACAGTTAGTGACATGTTACATATTCATCTCATGAATGAGCATACACAACCTATACTCGAACTCAGGACATTCGGTCTCGCGCGCGAACGCCTAACCCCTAGACTACTGATACCGCCATCGAACGGGGCTAATATCTAATTCCCATCAAGATATAACTCGCGGAGTCCTGGTGAGAATCCGTGATCATGGGAGTTCAATCCATGTCGGGTGAGACGGTTATCCACTACAGGCAGTGGACAAATGGTTGTGCAAGATAACAATTGATTGAAGTTAGATATTAATAATGTTTGATGCCGACTTAGTAGTCTAAAGGTTAAATGTTCGCGCCCAACACCGAGGGTCCGAGGTTAGGTTCGCGCGCAGGATGGTGGATGGGCACTACTGAGGAGTCCTATGCTAGGACGAGACGGCCGTCTGATGCTTCCAGGTCTTCAATGGCGATCCAGCTAAGATCAGTTCATGATTTCGCCTGTTAAAATATTACACTCTTTGCAAATCTCCCGTATTAAAGATATGTAGCCTGATATATGAACCTGCTTTTTTTCCCTTAGTTTCTTGTTATAGAAAATAAATCAGCTATTGAATATGTATACCTATATCTCCCCATGTTAATGCAGTTCACAAATGATTAAATTTGGAAATAAATTTCACATTTTAATGTTTTACTCATAATTTACACCATGAATTGAAATCAGCTTTTGAAGATTATTGCAAATCACAATGAACTAGGTAATTTATTTCATTCAAATCTGAAATTATTCGGAAGTACACACTACAGATGTATTCCCAGATGATGCTAGCCAATTGTTTATAATGTGAAAACTACAGCCAAATGAAAAAAGCATCTCAACAACAACAAAAATCGTTTAATTTAATAAACAAATGTTTTACTGAAGTATATTTAGTTAGATAATTAGTTGTTTAGTCTAAATAATAGATCACTTTCAATAACGTCATCAATTAAAAACATAAAGATAATGATGCACGTACATTTCACGTGATATTTGATGTAAATAAGTAATGCTTGTCAAAGTAGGAAATAAAAGATAATTTAAATGTCTAGGAGTTTAATTACTAAATGAATTTTCAAACACTGTCAACTATTTACATGATCTCAATAGTTGAAATCATGAGTCAATTGAAGCTGGACCATCATGGAAATGGTTTGGATTATCTTTTTCTGCTTAGCGTTTTTTTTTGGCTAATTAGTTATCTACGGGATGGGGTCGCTAATCCCATGCCCAATACTCCTCCTTTACCTCGGCTTGGGATCGGCAGTAACTCTAGAAGAGCTACACGCAGGACAAACCAGCTCCCAGCTGAGGAAGAAATTAGGAAAAGACGATGGAAATGGATAGGACACACATTGTGGAAATCATCAAACTGCATCACGAAGCAAGAACTGATTTGGAATCCTGAAGGGAAACGGAAAAGAGGAAGACCAAATAACACATTACGTCGGGAAATAGAAGCAGATATGAAAAGGATAAATAGGAGCTGGAAAGGATTGCCCAGGACAGGGTTGGGTGGCGAATGCTGGTGAGCGGCCTATGCTCCTTCACGAGGAGTAACAGGCATAAGTAAGCATCATGGAAAACCTGGAAGTACTGGACGGTCATTTCGTCCTATTGTCCTATTTACATTATATTAAACGTCAACTTCGTTAAGTCAATGCAAATGTTCATAACGGTCATGTCTATTTGATTTTTATCATTTTGTGATGAAGTGTTGAAAATTTCGATCTTTTTTAGCACATCCCTCAAAATCTATAAAGTCATTTAGTTATCCCATGAAAAATCTTAAATTGAAGCAACTAATAATGATCACCATTGAGGAAAAAAAAGTTTTTTCTTCCCGTAAATTTCATCGATTAAAATCAAATGATTATTACATTCAAGTCCAATAATCTAGTATTAGGTTCTTCTTCAGAGAAATAATCATAAACAAAATTACTAAGGGCCAAAAACAATTTTGTACTAAACACTTTGTCTATTCATGTTCAATTATTGATTTTAATAGTTGGATATCTCACAAATATAATTTCTTTTTCAAGATTTTCAAGACTTAAACCTCGCCTACTAATTAGAAACTTAACAAAAATTCCTATAATATGATAATCGATTACTGACAGTTCAATATAAAAGTGAGATTTCGTTATGATATAAAAACGGGTAAACATTCACCATATCTATCCATTTACGTGGTTAGCTGATGATTAAACTACTAGATCTTCGTTTATTGGGCCACAGGTTTGAACCCCTGGACAAAAATTAACATTAGCTTAGATAACTGAGTTGTATCATTAATTCTAGCACAAGATGAAACCAAAATTTTAGTACGCAAAACACACACTTGGTTACACTACTAATAAATGTCCTGATTTTGATTACAAGACAATAGGAGGATTGTTGTGATGGAAGAGATTTTATTTATTTATCAAACTATTACCCACATGACGAAAAAATGTGTTTTATTGCAATTCAAACATGAAAGTTCTGAAGTGACGACAAAGCAATAGTTCGTGATAAAAACAGACACTCATAATCAACGATTACTCATGTGTTGTATATCGTTTTCAAACATTACTAAGTTATTACTACAATTTTCTCTGGAACATTTTACATATTATACACATTATACATATATTAGCTTTTGCTACCAAACGGTAATAGAATTAGGAATTCATGTAACTCTCTGTAACTATAGACGCATGTAGAGCATGATTTCAGGGAGAATTAAGACAACATATCCATTACAAATATCAATACTGAAACAGATTTACTCGTAAAAACAAACGTACCTTTGATCCACTATCCAATCTTAATAGCACTGAATTACGTCTTCCATTTGAACGTGTATTCATTTTTGTCTTGTGTATTTAATACATAATTCAATTTGCTTATAATAAAATAAACATTCCTGTCATTGTATATCGGACATTATAAAATGTCTACAAATTATTTATACTAATTATTGTTAGTATTCATACAGATTGATGTTCAGAGAAGAATTTTGGAAATTTCAAAGATTAACTCAATTATTTTTATTATTATCCATTAGACCTTTATGACAAATCAATAATCTTTGTTATAAGTACATCTGCTTATATATTTAAGTAAACAGTAACTACAATACTTGGACTAGAGTACAAACGCAACAAAACAAATGATCGGATTGGGGAAAATTAGCAATGAAGTCTAAGATCAAGGCAATGGCCTGACCTTGAAATTTTATCCAATCTCAGATCAAATTACAAGTTCTAGATACTGATTGGGTAATTTAATGATTAACAATTTTAAATTGAATAACTTTTATCATTTGCGTGGGAGTTAGTTGGCCTTCAATTAAATATGATAAACCATAAGAGATTTAGGTATGATTTTGGTATCTTGGCCAAACATTTCCTCCCTCTAACTACTAGCAGTAAACTTATGAAAAGGTAAAGAACATTGCAACTTCGCATGATTACAATAAATTTCATGGTAAAATATTTGCGCTACTTCATCAAATCAAGCTCTGATTATATTATATTTACCAATAGAATATATTGCTTGGTACCATAGTATTTTCCTTTCTATATCTACTAAATAATTTTAAATGGATAGGAAGATCAATACTGTCCAAAATTTAGTTATTTAAATGATATCTTAAAGATTATTGATTTTTGGTTTGTGTCAAACTGAATATAGTTGATCGGTTACTGAACAGTGACCATTGTCACGTTTGTCTAGTCGCTCAGTGATGATCGAGTTCTATCAATCAAGATGCTAAATTCATAGTAGCATGAACTATGTTGAAATGTTAACAGATTAGGTGTAGTAGATAGAAGGCCCTAATCTGTATAGGTTTCATGATAGGCTGAACTCGTTAGTCAACAAGGTTTGCCTGGAGTCTTGAGGGTACTGGTGCTTCTTGTCTGACTCGAGCTCGCTCACCCAACTTCACACTCTGATGATTGTCACATATCACGGACTAAATCTAGGTGGACAATCATTGAAAAGCCAGAATGAACTGGGTATCGGTTTTGTTGCAGTGTAGAACTTCTTTGCAGTGCCCACCAACGAGCCCATCAGGGATCAAGCCCAGAACCTTAAAAAAGTTTGCTATGTTTAAAATGAAATATGATATAATTGGCATTATAATGCTCAGAATAATGTTGCGTTCTTTTAAGATACGAAGTAATCATTGTATCAGTGAATAAATTTAAAAACCGATGAATAAAATTCTGACCTTATATGATTTGTTTTCCATGTTGGCTTACTTGATGATTTTAAGCTTTATAGCAAGGCAAGCCACAACTTGAAAACTTCAAGGCAAAAGGGAATAAGGTAGATCAAAATACATGTAGCTACGAGAACTGAAGACAGACATCACGACCACGAATTAAACCTGGCAACAACTGGAAAGGTGAACCTAAAACAGAGTTGTTTGAATATCTCTGGTCTGTTGACTTTGTTTCAGGTGTGGTGATAGGCTTAAGTAAGCAAGTAGGCTACTTGATGGTTGAATGGAAAGCACAAAAAACTCTGTATGGGACACTAATTTCTCATACAACTAAGAATTCAAGATACTCCTCTAATATCACGAAAATTTGTATCACTTCATATTTGCTAATATTATTATTTCGTAAGACTAAAGATCACACAGTTGAATTTTTATCCATTTTTAAAGGAATCTTTGTTCAAAGATAGCTATTATCTCCATCACTGTCACTCTCAGGTATTTGATGAACAGAAAATACTGATATACCAAGCTGTCTCTAGATATCTTAAACAACTTGCGAACATTAATTTACAGAAGTCCTTTACATCATACACATTTAACCTGATTCTTCATAGAACAGGATCTACGAGATTCGGATCATTCAACCTTCAGTACAGTGTACTGCAATATAAAACAATTAACTGTATCTAATAACGGTATTCTTTAGATATTACTCATGAATGAGGACTAGTTATTCACACTGATTACTCTATTAGACGATCAACCAATGTTTGTCTATCGTACAGATAAATATTATTTACATTCGTTGAATATTTTATAAATAGAAGTGTACAGAAGATATTTCAAACTATATATGAACTTTGTAAAGATGTTTGACAGTGAATAGACAACTAATTACTTTAGTAGGTTCTGATCGTTAACACTGTAGTTTCAAAGAAAGGCCTAGCATAAACAATTTAGTACCAGACATTATGTGCCTCCTTCATTAATTTTAGGGAACACAGACTAGCTGAAGTTAGGCGTTCAAGCACTGACGCCACTTATACATGCTTCCCATCTATCCAATTTCACACTAGTTATCTCAATATCTCGTGATTAATACACTGCTCTATCTGAACCAATATTGTGTTTTTACTGACTGTTTACAAAATATCAACAGTTATCTACTGGGAACTTTGTATCAACATTGTAAAAAACTTATCTTAGCCAACCTTCTGTATTGAAGTGCATAGCCGAAACAATTGTTTGTTTCATTTGTGGGTGTGCCGAGCATTGTTGAACAATGAATGGATAATGTATAAGCCAACTTATTGATTAAATTAAGAATAATTAGACGATAGGAATGTTAGCTTTCGTTACAAGACAAAATTTGAAATCTATTAGCAACCAACAAAATTTCATTTATTGATGCAGCTTTATTCTGAATAGTGCTCCTGCAAGGATAAACTTAGGTTGATATCCGTCCGGTGGCGATTTAAAACTCGCATGCGAAAAGCTTGGATTCGACTCTTTATGGAAGTAGGGAGAAACTAAGTTTGATCTTTTTCCTCTTCAAAATAAAAAAATAGATGTTTTTGTGCACCGGTGCAGTTCAGTATACAGAAACACCTAGTTATAACATTCATAACTCTATATCGAGAATAAAAATGTCACAGTGAATTTTCTCTCTTACGGATTTACTGTGCAAGTAGATTTTCGAAAATCTTGATTAGTTTACCGTCAATTAAAATCACAAGCATAATTTGTTCGGTACGTCGATGGCTACCTCACTCCTAAAAGTGTTTTAAAGTACTCATGTCTGTGAATATACCCCATTACACTAGTGAAATCATATCGACACTATATGTTTGATCTTTTTTAAACTGAATATACTTAATAAACCTAACTTCTTGCATATATTTTGCATATACACTGGCTCTGGTTACTTTAATTAGTTTGACTCATAGCCATCTAAATTAGTAAATCATAAAACAACCTAGCACATATATAATGGCAAACCTACCACAGTAAGCTTTGCTTTGATTATTCTGTGCTCTCTGTTTCCGTTCTTCCTATAGCTGTAGGTAATTCCGACTACTTTGTAATAACACTGGAATGACTTTGCGATACACTATTCATACTTCAACAGAATATCTCAGTCCATTAGAATAACTTCTGCCTCAAATAATCCATGGAATACATGTCGTTTTAAAATAATTTATAAACCACATCTGTTTGGGACTAGTCAGCTGGATGTACCTGCATCCCAGAGCTGATGTTTACTCCGTGTCTCGAACCCAGCATCGATCGCTTCAAACGCCACTCAGCTATTGAGTACAGATAGCCAAAAGTTTGTGTAATGAGGTTGTTTGAAACTTCCGATTGATGTTTAGGACTGTAATAAGAGACTGATCAATTGCAGTCCTAAATACTAACGGGAAGATTGTATATTTGACGTTCCGTGACTTAATGTGAACCACTTATTCAAAGCAAATGAATAATACTATTTAGATTTGCGTTAATTTCAGTTTGTTATTTATTCACTCTGAAGAAGCGGTTTATATTGAGTCACGAAACTTAAGAAATACGATTCTTTCCGCTCATTGGGTTATAACGAAAAATATATTAATTGTTAACCTTTTAGCCAATTTATGTGAAACTGTCACGTCCAACCTTGCCAGGGTATGTTTAGTATAATCACGGATTTTTTTTGAAGAAACATTGAGAGAGGGTTTAAGTTTTCATGTGACTAAAGCATCAACAACGTCATGTTTTATCTGCGTTATCTAAATTTATCAAGTGACTATTTTAAAACTTGTTTCATTGACTGAAATGGTTTGAAACATAATTTTAAGTGATTCTCATTTCCATTTAGTGAGCACTGTATGGTAGTAACGATCATCCAAACAAAGTACAGTGAGAAAAAAAACGAAACTCTATTCTCGAGTGAATAGCACTAACATCTTGTTTTAATCAAGCAAGAAAGCTTGAAAAATACCTATTTTACTCTGCTATGATGGTTCAGTAACATGCCCTACTTTCTTTTCATGCCATCACTTGGTTTAAGTTACTATGGTGCTTTGATGGGTTAGACGACATTTACTCAAATGCTATCTAGCGGGCTTGTTGTTTCATCAAGCCTTTATAATTTGATAATTTTGAAATGACTGTGGTAATACAAATACCTTGGCTGTAACGTTGAATAATACATGTCAGAACCTCTGACCTCAAACTTGGATTTTGGATAACTAAGACAAACTGGTAATTGAAAAACATTAGAATTTACCTAAACTAAAATTTGGACATTTTCATACAAAAATATTTGAAAATCCTAGTGAAAGGTGGTTGTTCAAACAAAAATACCTAATTTTTAGCTTATTCTTTTCATGTCAGAATCTCATATCAGAAATGATTTGTATTTAAGTTGATAACAAGTTCAAAGCAAAGTTTGATTTACAATTGAACTTGTGCATAACTCAGAAGTTAGACAATGTCAAACAATTTTACTGTATAAACAGCTAAGTAGTGAAATAAGATCACTGGATGATTATTTCTATTATTTAGGAGCATAAGAACAATAAACAAGTTTATGTTTCTTGATGGTTAGGTAAGCAATATAAACGTATCCAGTATTTGTTAACTTATGGTGCCACAGACAGA